TTGTATTTGGTTAAATTCCTACTACCTCCTTAGAGCTTTGACTTCTCAAAAATAAGTCAGTAGTGCAATCAGCCACCAGTGTTGGGTTGTATCCATTGGCATTTTCTAAGTATCTCCTTATCTGTTTCCAGTAGGACTTTCTGAAGACATTTTAGTCATCCTTATGGAGAGGGAGATCATGAGGAGGCATGTGAGGCATTAGCCATAATAATATTGAAGTTTAGAACAATGCATTGTGTGAATAGCTTTGATAGTAGTTTAACAATCTGCATTCATCCCTGAAAAATGTCATGTTGGTTGTATGTTTCTGATCACTTCTCTTGTGGTTTGGATAGTGGCACTGGTTAAGGTGTACAGAAGTTAGTGAAGAATCAGGACATGTATATCCATTGATGATGTAGGACCTGGTTTATATCTGAAGTTAAATCTAAGACTTATACGTTGCTCAGACGGGAGTGAGATGATGAGCTTTCTGTCTACAGGACATAGAAGGATAGTTCTAGCCCTCATCTTTAGACAGCACATGGCAAAAAACAAAAGATAATGTTGATAGGATAAAGGTAATCTGAGTGTCTTGTTGATATTCCATATGAAAATTAAAGTTTTATATGAAAACATTGATCAGTTTGGTACTCATGCTTAAAGGCATAACAGTGTAGTGCATTTAAAAACTTGTTGCAGTGGTCCATTTGTTTAGAAATCCATGTAAGTACACACTGTGGCAACATGGAAAAGTCTTTCCTACAGTTTAGCTGCTTGCAAGTAGTTGAATAGTGTTCTAGGGCTTTCTAATCATGGAAGAAGGTTTTATCCCTTTCCAATAAAGCTTGCAGCGCCACATGATTTCCATCCAGAAGTTATATATAAGCTACTTTATATATTTTGCCTCTCCACCCCCGTATAAGAGCATGGAAAGAGGAGTGCTTCTAGATGAATTATCACTGGCAAGCCTTCTGCAAGGCAGATTAAAATCCTTTTAAGTAATAGTTCATAGCTTCCTAGCACCTGCACTGCACAACGAGGCCATGCTCACTTGCTTACCACTAGCTGTTGCTTATGTTGGAAAAAAAAAATCACAGGAATTATTTATTTGAGCTCCTTATTTAATAAATCAGTAGGGCTGTCAATTGATGTGTGTTAATGCCTGTGATTAACGCAGGGAAGGATTAACGCTTTTCTAACGCATTAATCGCAGGTGTTAATGCTGCGCTGCCCTTTGAAGCACGAGAGCGGCGCCTCAAAGGGGCAGCGCTGCATGGAGCCCTGGGGTCAGCTAGGGACTGCAGCTGATCCCGGTCTCCCAAGGTGCTGCCCCTTGGAAATGCCGCCACTGCATTTCCAAGGGGCAGCTGCTCTGAGCCTGGGGTCAGCTAAGGACTCCAGGGGCAGTGCATGTGATTAATCGCGATTAAATTTTTTAATCACTTGACAGCCCTATAAGTCAGCGATTCTAAATTTGGTCTGCAGAACGCAGCTATGTTAGAAAGTTGAACTGTGGCATTGGTCAACTCTGCTTGGGTCATCTCCTTTCCTTGTCTTGACTATTTAAGTTGCAAGCATTTCGTAACACAAACTGTCAGGCAGGTGTTGTAAAAGGCTTAATATAATTAGGTCCTGATCTGGAATAGTGGCCCAAAGCATATCCCTAACTTTTCTTTTTTAAAGCTGTATCTAGTTTGTGTGCACACGCTTTCTGTTTCTGCTCTCTCACCTGATGACAGGCAAATAGTTTTTGAAGGCATTCTTTTTTAGGTACAATTTAGACAAGGATAGTGATAGTTTGACATGATCCCTTCGTTGGGGGAAAATTGTCAAAAGTGAGGTTGTCAAAATTGGCACCACTTTCAGTATGGAGTTATTCTGTAAGTTTATGAAAAGACACAGTCCACAAGTGAAACATTTGCTGTTATTCTACATAGCTGTTTTGAGATTTGATTATTTAAGTTATTGCAACAAATTGGTAATTAAAGCATGAGATGGCAGAAAGGGACTGTAGGAGATGCCAACTGGCATTCCTACTTAAAAATGGTTAGACTAAATAGTGACTTCAGTGATTCAGAATGCTTTTAAGACTTGGCCTGGCTTCTTATTCCTCCAAGAGATTGTTCACACTCAGATTTCAAAGTAAGGCTGATGACAGAAGAGCAAGTATAAAATACATTTCTTAAACCGAATTTAACTGTGCACTTCATAAACAAAGTAACTTTGGGAGCTATTGAGGACATAAAACAAAAGTTTAGTACTTTCTTCCTACTTAACTTACTAGAATACACAAATGCTCATACCAGAAATGAGGAATCTCCCATATAAACTCTGGCATAAAGACTGAATGGGTCAAAGTTTTTGAAGTGTGGCTGGAACAGGAGTTTGCAAAGCATTAAGACAGTTTAGAGAAAACAGCTGATTAAAAATGTGCTGCCAATCAGTGGCTGGGGATTTCTAGATTGTTACAGTTTTGGACCAGCACCTTTGGAACCTGACTTGTCCCAACCCAGAGAGTTTTTCAGACCAGAGAAGGTCAACACCAACCCCTCTGTTGCTGGCCTCCAGTCTTCCCCCTCAGTCGTTGCTCTGAGCTTTGCTCTTGGATAGTTCCCCTGCTGTCAGGCTCCTGTCTGCTCCAGCCTCCATGCTGGACTCCACTCTGGACCTCCAGGCTCACTGCTCCCGGACTGCCCTCCACTCCTTGCTGGAATCCTGACCGCCCACCTGCCCCCTGGGCTCCCAACTGGCCCCTAGCCCTGGTCTGACCACAAAAAAAAGATGATCTCTCATTTGGTTTAGGTCTACTTATAATTACAGTATAAAAAGTTGTGGGCAGATAGTTGAACAACAGAAACTGAAATAGCCCTCAGCTAGGCATTGTCTTACCAGTATGTGCTTGTGCTAGAATCCCAATAAGTTTTTTCCTGACCAAGACATTTTTCCATCCTATCAATATAATTTTGTGAAGGCAATGGAACTGAGCTCTACACATCATACCTACCATTTCCTACCATGAAAGCTAGCTCTGTAAGGGTACGTCTACACTACAGTGCTAATTCGAACTAACTTAGTTCGAATGAGTTAATTCGAACTAAGCTAATTCGAACTAACGCATCTAGAACTAAAAACTAGCTCGAATTAGCGTTTTGCTAATTCGAACTAGCATGTCCACACTAAGTGGACCCTGAACTGGGCTTAAGGATGGCCGGAAGCAGTGCCGGCAGGGCATCAGAGGAGGACTTAGAGCGTGGAGATGCTGCCTCAGGCTAGCCCAGGGCTGTGCTTAAAGGGACCCGACCCCCACCCCGGACAGACAGTTCTCAGGGGTGCCCCGCTTGCAAAGCAGTCCTGGCTTGGATTGCCCGGACTGCCCGCACTGGGCACATCATACCACTCGGCCATCAGCCCGGCTGCACTTGCCACTGGCTGCCATCTGGGGAGAGGGGGCAATTGGGGGGGTGCAGGAGAGCTTCCACCCCCAGAAGCCCGCAGAGCCAGCCCAGTCCTCCCCATCGGGGGCTCGTGCCCCATTCCTCCCTCACCTCCTTCCACTTACCCTTCCCTAGCCCC